CTTAATATCCAATACAACAATGACAGGATTAATGACTGTTGTCAACTGTTCTCCCCAGCTCTGGTGGTATACATATTCAGTGCCCTGTGGATAGAATATGTATCATTAATCAAATTAATGATAATTAAAAGATCTTGTGGATTTTCATTACCATTTCTTTAGGTTCAGATCCTTTGTCTTCATCTCCTACACAGTGTATGTCAGAAAGAGATAATTATTTCAAATGTAACCACAATTAAGTCAGTGATATTTGGTAGTTTTATTATGCCAATAAATGTACTAACATTAAAGATCATTTTGGCTCAGTATAATAACATACCATTGTTCTTCTTCTTAAAGTAAGAAATACTGTCTGGGACCTTCTTCTCAGCGACATAGAGCAGTTTTGAGCCATCAGAGGACAACTGGAAGCTTGAGAATTGATCTAAAAGTTAACACAAAAAATCACGTGTTTTAAAACATCATTTTTGCGTTCAATTTTTAGACAAGAAATTAAAAAAAAATTTTTGTTCCAGATTTTAACACGCATCAATTTTTAGCACATTCCGAAAATGAACACAATAGATTGTGTTTAAATAACAGTTTTTGTATTAATAAAAAACACTGGTGTGTTAAAATAGCACCTGTGTTATGTGCTATAATTTGGGACAGCAAATATGTGTCATTTTAAACACAAAAGTTAAAAAAATAGCTTGCCATCATCATTAATTTTGCCATGTTTCTTTCCCACATGCTCCTTGACATTGAAACTCTTTATCAAACTATTTGAGTCCCAGATCTAAAGTAATAACACCAACAATGATAATAGCAACAATGATAATAACTAAATAATTTGTAATTTCCAAAACAATTTTAATAATTGCTTACTTCTATAAACTGCTGTGGTTCAGTCCCAGACTCCATCTTTGATGACTTTCCTTTCATGAGTACAGCTCTGAACTTCCCGCAAGTGGAATAACTTTCTAACAAACTAAAAATTACAAAAATTCAAATAAAAAAAAACAGAAAAATGTAATAAAATTCATTATTGCATAATGAAATAAATAAGTGATAACAAGTGATAATCATGAATTAATATCAACATAAACTCTAACGTGTCACAAATCCCAACTCTTAAGCCAGGCATACACTAGGCAACATGTTGCCGGCATCTTTTGTGGTTACTTTGATCTTGTAAGCAACATGTTGCCAGAAATAGAATAGCCTTCTATTTCTGGCAACATGTTGGTTACAACTGAGATCGAAGAAACCACAAATGTTGCAAGCAACATGTTGCCTAGTGTATGCCTGGCTTTAAGCCCTCCATACACCAGGCAACTTGTTGCTTGCTAGCAACATTTGTGGTTTCTTTGATCTTTTGAGCAACTTAATGCAAATATAGAACTGATTTCTATTTTTAGCAACATGTTGCTTACAAGTCAAAGTAACCACAAATGTTGCTAGCAACATGTTGCCTAGTGTATGGGGGCCTTTAAGGCCTCCATACACTAGGCAACATGTTGCTGGCAACTCTGTGGTTACTTTGATCTTGTAAGCAACATGTTGCCAGAAATATAGAAGGCTGTTCTTTTTTACAAGATCAAAGTAACCACAAAGTTGCCAGCAACATGCTGCCTAGTGTATGGAGGCCTTTACACTGATGTAGCATCGTGTTGGAAGCTGTTGCTACTGAGTAGAGAGAATTTCTTAGAGCCAGGGTCTCTGCGGATCAGGTAAGACTTGGCAAAAGTAACTTTAAGTCCTCTTTCAAGATCTTTTTGACTCCATTTTATTTCAACCTCATACAGCCCGTCCCCTGAGCGGAATATACGACCTCCAGTAGCAACTGGTATCTGTGCAATCTCTCTGTATAGCTGACTGGCTTTCTCTTGGATACCAGCCATCATCAAGAAGTTAAATTGTGCACTGCGCGGATGTGGTGCAACGTTATGCGACAGCTTATGAACGTGGCCAGGGCTAGCCTTTTACTATTATGCTAATAATTATGCTTTGAAATGAATCTAATTATGCCAGCTCATAGTTTAAGCTTTACTCAAATATAAACTATGTAGTATGTACATGCATCAAATGAGTGACTTTAAATCACTGCAAAACAACCTATGTCACTGGATTTATCATGCTTGAGTAGGTGGTTACTAGTACTGACTTGTACCACCTGTCATATTGAATTGAAATTGTGTGGTCCATTATGCTCCCATTATCCCAGCATAATAACTTAATTGTCCTGTTATGCTCCAAATTATGCTAGCATAATTTGCCTAGCCCTAAATGTGGCTGGTTTTGCAAGGTGTGGTCATAGATAGAGCCGCTTAATTGCTTAATCAGTTATTTTCTTTAATCCTGGGGTTTGTGAACTACTAGTTCACAGAGCCCAGGAGTGGTTGAGGTAATATGCACTGATCCTCAAGGCCTATATCACATGATTAGCCGGTAGGGCAGAATATCAAATATTGCTTGGGAGTTGTTTCTTTTGCAAATGATTAACCACGTGAATGCACATGGCTTTAATTTAATTTGATTTAATTTAATCATGATTTTACAAAATGCAAAAACAAAAACAAGATAAGTATATATAATACAGAAGAGAAGAGAGAGGCCAAAGAATAGGCACCTTGAAGGAGTGCCAGTACGTTCTACTGACACCCAACAAACAAAATAGAAGAAGTAAAATAAAATAGATAGAATAACATAACATAACATGATAACACGAAATAACTGAATCAGAAAAGAGAAACATACATTACATACATATGGATTACAAAATGATTAGAAATAATAATAGTGACAAACATAATCAGAGACCTCCACAGTTAGACTGACCAAAGGGTAGATATAGATAACTCCTGATGCATAACGAGACACCTACGGTGCATGGCCTCGCCCCTATAGCTGCTATGGTGCATGCCCGCACTGCAATAGCTGTTTGATTATCAGCATGAAGAGAGTCTGCTCAACACTAGCTTCCTGCAGTTGCACTTGCTCTTAAATACCTGCAGAAGTAGCAGCACTGCAGCACATACATGCAAGCAGCTCCAGCCCCTCCCATGCATGTAGATTGAAAGGTGTGGCATTCTATCATAACTTAACTGGAATGATTGGCAGCAAGAAGACCATGTGAGAAAGAAGCTTCACTTTTTCTTTACTAATCAGCAATATATGATAAACTTGCTGACAAAAAAAGTTGCTGCCTTTGTATATTTGAGATAGTATAGGTACTTTAGTACCTATAACCCAGCAAGTTGTTGCTCTAGCGCTGCACAAACGAGTGACCTCAACAATTTCAAGTAAGTATAACTCTTCATCAAGTAAGATTTAGAGAAATCTGTTCATATTATTTGAAGGCCATGTTCTAATCTACTGAAAAATGCTACCATCTATCTCTAAAGTGCCAATACAACGGAACTTGACCCAACTGCTCGATTTTCTTACTTTGAAGCTTCTGTACCTAGCACTTGTATTTGAGCAACACAAAACAGTTAAGAAAGACTTTTCCACGCCAAAAGGAAAGATCTAGGAGCTTGAAACATGCTGTGCTAAAGTTATTGTTTATTAAAAACAAATTTCAGTTGTACAGAATGAATGAATGACAGACAGACAGACACAACAACTACCTATACCTCGCGTAGGCGAGGCCAATGAGCAGCCACAGGGGGAGAATGTCTTGTTCCTAGCACTAGCCAGGGACACTCTCCTACACAAGTGGAACTGCCTCCTAACAGGGGACTACCTTACTCCTATGTAGCCCAGTGACCCTTAACACTTGATGTAATCAAGGGGGTATGGTACTACATAGTGGGATAGTGCAACACATGACCTGA